ACACACAGACTGGGAACAGGCCTGCCAGGGTGACCAGCAGAACACACAGCTGGGCACAGCTGGAAGAGAACCTTTTCAGAACAACCCAGCCAATTAATTAACAATGAGCTAATTAACTGCACTCTCTTGAGTCACATTCTGAGTAGTTCTCCCCAGTCTTCTATCTAGGACAGGCCCAGTGCTGAGCAAGCTTTGCACATTAACCCCCCCCAAAGCAGGCTGAGCAATCTCTACAGCAGCTGAGGAGGAGGAGGCAGCCAGCACCAGAGCTGAGGCTTTCACCCACACACACAACCTGCACCACTTAACCAAAACCCATCACTGAGCACTTGAGTAAGCCTAAAGCAAGCTCCTGTAACCAGGTACAGCTAAACTGAGCTCAACTAACCCAAACCAGCAGCAGGAGGGATTTACATGTGTCCACAGATGGGTCTGTACTAGTTTAATGCCTTGCTAGGGGTCATGTTCACGCCCTTTGTGCCCAGGGTACCATTCTTCACTGTAGCATCCCAACACAGAAGGTGTGAAAGCCACCAGCACTCACAGTCCAAGTCCCCACAGCAGCAGTGGCACCCACCTAGAGGGAACACGCTGCAGCTCTCCCCATTACGTGCAGTTTCACAACCACCCGCTGGGATCTGTGGTTGAGTAGCTTAAAGCAACAGGCTGAGACTCTGAGCAGCACCATGAAGTGCAAACTATCCACCATGCAGAGATTTCCAGTATAACCCACAATTTAACTTACATGGGAAATACTCAATATAGCATGAAATATTACCAGCAAATGAGCACAAACTGCAAAGGAGCTGCCCAGCCACGAGAGCATTCAGATATTCATCTGTGAGTTTCTTTCTGGAAACAGGATGACACTCACAGATGAGCAGGCTAAAAGAATTCCTCTTCTCCAGCATCTCATCAACAGATGCTCTGAGAAAGGAATATAACCAGCCTTATAACTTGAAGTGAACGGGACAGGCAGTCACCCAGGGATGCAGTTCTAACCCTCCCTGGAGAGGCCTCCTCTTCCCTGCTGAATGAGAAGTCCACAAGCTAGTGGAAATAATTTGACAATCCCTGCTCTCCAACACCATCATGGCCTTTCATCTCCACGTTCCCTGTGGTGTGCCTTGCATTCAAGTTCCCCAGGACTCTTCTGTACCATGGAACAGCAATTCTCTTTCCAGGCTGCAGCACAGGACTCTGCTACACCAGGAGCTACTCTGCCATCACACATGGGAGAACAGGCAGAACAGCTCTAGCACAGCACAGCCTTGCCCTAAGATGAAGTAAATCCTCACACACCACAGCCTTGCAAAGTGGAGTCAGCCAAAGTTCATCCTGTACCATACACACACAGTCTCACACATTCCACACACCACTGACCGCATGATTGTGGTGGTGCTAGAAAGATCTTTACCATTACCACACACACACTCTGAGGAATAAGCCAAACCTACCTTCTCCTTGTTGAGAGCTTCCTGAGCTTCTAACTTGTACACTAAAAAGTCTAGAAATGGAAGAAAAGACAGTTCAATGAGCTGGAATTTAACAAGGAGCTGGTTTGGTTTTTTTTGGTGGGGGGGAGGAAATCAGCCCCTTGCTGAGCAAAAAGGTGCAGCTCAGAAAGCACTTTGTGTAGAACACACATCGCCCCACAGCAGAGCTGGGGGTTGGCTGGCCACCCCTCTGCCACCCATGCAAGACACTCACCTTCCTTTGTCTTCTTGTGCTCCCCTCGCTCCTTCTGCAAGGATCGTTCCAGCCGGGATCTGTGCTCGTACACAACTAGGGAAGCAGAAAGAGGCAGAGCATGAGGTAAACCCTGAAATTTCTTGCCACATCTTCCCCAAAAGGGGCGTATGTGGACCTCAAATCCTGCCCTGGACTGCAGAAGAGCCTTTCCTGTTTCGAATGGTCTGCATCACTTTGGGTTGCCAGGCTTGAGCACACAGTAGCTCACACGGAAAATCCAGACCAAGAAAGCAACAGTCCTGAAACACATCCAGATACTTGATGTTGTAAACAATGAAAGGGTCAGGTGCAGCTACAAGCTGTTTGCACTTCCTATCAACTGTGAACAGAGAAGGTGTGGAGCTGGACTAGAGACAATGGATATTCCTGGTATAACACACCACTCATCCTGTGAGCATCTGCACTCAGGTTTTGCTCTGGAGCCTAAGCTGCAAAGCACAAGACCTGGCTTTAGTGGCCAGTGCTAAACTGTGTATCTGTGGGACAAATCCACTACCAGGCTCGAGACAGCCAGAGCCTTCCAGGTCATCTGTGCTGCAGATGAACCATAGAATGAACCACAGAATGGTTTGGGTTGGAGGGGACTTTAAGGCTCATCCAGTTCCAACCCCCAGCCATGGGCAGGGACACCTTCCACTAGAGCAGGTTGGTCCAAGCCCCATCCAACCTGGCCTTGAACACTGCCAGGGACGCAGCATGCAGGAGAGACATCTCCCCTTCCACAACCCAGCCATTAAGTGGTCCTCAGGTCACTAAGGAAAAGTGAGCCAAGCAGCTCCCTCTCCCATCACACACAAAAGAGCGTCTGTACTCTGCACAGGAGCTGGGACGGGAGAGCAGTGAGGCTGCACCACACAGCAGCCACATGACACATAAAAGTGCCAGAGAAGCTTCCTGATGGATGGTGATGTTAATCCACTCTGATGTCTGAATGCTACCCAAGAGCTTTCCCAGAGTCACAGCACGCAGCTGCAACAGGCTCCTCCATCCCCTCCAGAGGCTGCCACCACACCAGAATGTCACCAGGCAGCAGTTCAGAAGGGAGGAGCAATGGAAGAAACTTGCCTCCAGAGCCAAGATCTTTGGGGTCAAGCTATGCCATGATGCAGTCTGCAGGAGAAGGAACAAAGCAGGATGATATCTGCATGCATAAAACAAGTGCTAACCCATTCCAAGAGCCCCGAGTGACTTGTGCTCTCACAAGTGAATCTATAGAGACTGCCAGCTCCACTCGGGTCATATGGGAGCAGCAAAGCCAGTGCATGTCCTGCATTATCAGCTGCTTTGCTGCCTCAGAGCAGATACTCCAATCTGGAGGAGTAAGAGACACAAGACATCCTTGTGTATATCTAATATCTGCAGCGCTGACCATCAGTAGCACCAACCCTCTGTTCGTGCAGAGGCTGCTCTTACTATATAGTGAGGAAACTACCATATTTTCCAATCCATTACAGCAGAAATAGTTGTTTTCCATCAGGAAGGACTTTTTCCCTGCTGAGCACACTGGTAAGTAGCAAGCCCATCACTGCAGCTGCCCAAGTGTCTGCTTCATGACAGCTTCATTTTTAGAAACACTATTCCCATCAGACTACTCAGATGTCACCCTGAGGGCTTCCCCAGCCCAACAAAGCACACAAGACTGTGGCTGCTGCTTCATTACATGATAAAAAGCTTTATTCAATTAAATTGTCATCTTCAGAACATCAGCCACTTCCTCAAAGACTTTTGAGCTCTGGGCACTCTTGTTTCTGCCACAAGCATCTCACTTTCTTGCAGCCTTATCTAGCAGAGCACCTGAGGACAAGCCTTTGACGTGATGAGGACCTCACACCAGCAATGAAAAGTCACAGCTGTCGGGGTTGTTGGGGATGCCCAGGAATTCCCAGGCTTTACCATGCCCTTCCATGTACTCTGAGCTTCCAGTCTGCATTTGCCTCAGCAGTTCTGGGCTTGGAAGAATCCCTCTTGCAGGCACTTCATGTTGTTTTCTAGTCACCTGTGTAGACTCTGTTTTCTTTTGATGTAAGAGCAGGGTTAGAAACTCACCCCACAGGAGCAGGTTATCCACCTCCCCAGGCCCCAGAACAGCCAAGGCAGTGACCAGCCCCACAGGTTGTGCTCTGTCACTAAGTGCCCAGTGTAGCACAGGAGGCAAGTTCAACACCTACAGCCTCACTCAAGCCAAGCGCTCCCAACACAGGACCAGGCAAGGCAAGAACTATTTCATGCAGAAAAAGTCTGCTTAGATGCCCCCAGGCTACAAGGTGCTATTGATCTCACGTAGTAAATGGGAAGCTAAAGTGTAGGAAAGCACAGGCCTGTTGCTGTAGATGCTAACACACCCACAACCACAAACCCTAATGTAAGCATCAAAACACAGGTGGGTCTTCAGGAACAGCTCCATCCCATAAACCGTTGATTCCGACATTTAGGACAAAATCTGTCTCTCTTGACACTTCTTTTTTCACTAAGATAAGAAGTAACCTCCAGCAACGAGGAGTAATAAAGTCATTCTCTCCTGCCACTCCTCCAGGTTGACAGAGACTGGAAAAGGTGGGCTCAGCTTTACACAAACAGTAAAGTGCTCTCTGCTCGTGTCTGTGGTGGAATACAGCAACAACTCAGCAGACCAGCATGGCCCAGCACAGCTTCAGAGGACAGGAAGCCAGGAAGTCTTTAACAATTTTCAATTACAAGAGAGAATGGAGGGTGGTCAGTGTCTAAATCCAGGCTGGAATTCAGCCAGAACTCAGCACTAACGCCCCGTCACCTGCTGCCAAATGAGCTGAAAAGCAGAACTGGGTCTGCTGAGACAATGAAATCCCCTGCAGGGCCTTGCCTTTGGGAAAGAACAACAGGTCAGGTCTTGCACAGACTTGTTCTCGTTTTAAAAGACCACAGAGAACAGGGTGATTGTGTGAAGGGGTTGCCTCATAACCCCCAGAGCACTAAGATAAACTCTCCCTGGCACATGTTCAAGAGATCCATAAAGAGAGGGCAGTTCCAGTCTTGCCACTAGTCTCAGGTTTTACTCTCCTGTTCAAGTGGTTCCATTTCACCCCTGCCTCGGAAAGCCATAAGGACATGTTAGCTCCCTGCTTTCATGGAGTAGGGCAGCAGAGGCGTCAGATGTGTTGCTCTAGTTCTGCTAGAACCATGCACAGAGCATAGTTCATTAGGCCACTTCTGTGCCACCAGCACATGCTGTGGGAAGAGTCCCCATACTGCCCGCGGCTCAGCGCTCCAAGCAGCTCTCAGCACACAGAGCTCAACACCAACTCCCAGCCTGCACCGTGCTCCTTCCCCTCTCCTAACTCATCACCCAGAAAAAAGCTTTCTTCTCTGTCACTCTCCTTGTTAGAGGCGTCAGATACTTCTGCCAGTGTCCATCCAGTCACATCACAACTAACCACCCATGGCACCAGTCACTCGGGCTCAAGAATCAACCAGAGCAAGGGACAAGGGGAGCAGAACGAAAGCCAGACTCATCACACCTCCCTCTGTGATCCAGAGAGATGGCAAAGGAAAGAGACAGGGTAAAAGACATCCTCTGGTGAGGACAGGAGTGCTGCGTTCTCAGGCTCAGCCTCTGTGCAATGGCAGCCTTTTGTGAGAAAGAATCATGGAATCAGTCACTGACTGGTTTAAGTTAGAAAGGACCTTAAAGCTCATCCAGCTCCAACCTCCTGCCATGGGCAGGGACACCTTCCACTGGAGCAGGTTGCTCCAAGCCATGTCCAGACAGCAGTTTGATGCTATCAAGCCCCATCAGGAATGTCAGATGGAAGCGGATGGCACCGTAACTGCACCTTCCTTCCCATCTGCTCAAGGAGTGCTGTCTGTTAGTGAACTGACCAAAATCAAACCTCTCATTTCACTGAGAACCTCCAGGCAGCAGCAGGCTGGTACACACACAGGCACACACCGACAGGAAGTGGGAGGTGGGAAGCAACACTTTGCTTAAAGCCACCTGCTACATAACCCAAGCAGAACAGATTCATCTGAAGGGCAAGCCAGGTAAGAGCTGGACAGGGTCACACACATCATACTCCCTCCTTTTCTTCCTCTTGCACCATGTGTTTGCCCTTCAGCAAAGCCCACACCTGCTTTGCTTTTATTGACATCCACTTCCCTGCATACAGCCAGAAGGCAACACACGGGACAGGCAGTGCTGGTTTGAAGACAGCTTCACTCCCTCCTCCACTTGCCTTCCTTTTCTCTTTCACTAAACCCTTGGCCTTCACTTTGAAGTTTTATTTACAGAGGTCTACCAGAAGCATTAACCAAATAGTGTACTCGGATGAAAGAAGAGTAGGAAATATTTGATAGGTAGGAAATAGCTGATAGGTGAAAGGAGACACCTGAAGCACTAGTTAAACAGCACTGAATTCCACCTCGGAACAGCACATCCTCCTTTTGTAGAGCTGGAAAGACAGAAATGGGCTGCGGAAGACACAGCAACAAATCAAGCCACAAGTCAGCACAGGGGCAGGGATAGAGCCAGAGCCCCAGCTCCCCACTTTCCTGCGTGCAGCACTGAAGCACCAGCAGCACGAGAGCTGTGGCCATATGTGCAGGATGCCACTGCACTGAGAGACTTCCATGAAGTGGCTCCTAACTGCCAGTCGCCAGGCTTCTCCCACCAGCCAAATCCAAAAGGAAGCCTTGCCTTTGTTAAAACTGTTGGACAAGTAAGTGTCTTCTCAAAATAAAAAGGGTAGCTATGGCAACAACTGTATTTAGGAATGGGAGGACTGAGAGAGGGTTAGAAACCCCAGCAACAGGCTACAGCTCTGCCATTCCAACATATTTGGGTGGAAAAACACACGAGCCTGGCTCAGTTGTTTGCTTGAACCTGCTGTTCCCAAAACTGGGGTACCCTGAGGCTACCACTGTCAGCTTATTCTCTGAAGAACCAGCCCCTCTTTCCAAGAGGAGCAAGAGATGCTGACACACCAGAAAGGAATGTGAGCTAACTTCTGCCCTGCTGATCTTCGCATCTCAGAAACACAGGATGCAGGTGGGAATTGCTGTGGCTGGGACTGTGCAACACATTAGGAGCTGTAGCTGTTTGATCACCCTGTGGCATAGCAAAAAGAAATGGAAACAAGACATAAGATCATACCAGTGAACCTATACACACACTGGATCGATCCACAAGATGGTTTGGCTTCTTTAAAGTATGTTTCCTTGGGAGACGAACCAAACATATCCACCACACTCTGCTTTCCCAGTTTACAGGCAGGAATACACAGCCCTGAGCACAAAGAAGAGCTCTTCTTTGAAACAGAGTAATCTAAACCCACTTGTTAGAAGAACCTCTTGACCCTGAGGCACTAGAACCACAGGCAAACATACTTTGTCCACACGAAATCCATTCTTTGGGCACTCCAGAACCTTCAGCATTACACACACAATCACTGGCTACCAAAGAGTGGATTCCCACCAAACCTCTCTACAAGGACCTCAGCAAACCCCTCTGGAGACTCCAAACCTAGTGATAGATGCTGGAAACTTTGGCAGATGCAGTAAGGCTGGAATGACAGACAAGACAAGAGTTCAGCAAGGGAGTAACATGTCCTCAGCCTTCCCTGCTGGGATCTTTCCACTCCATGGGCTAAATGCCATTCTCTCACAGTCAGACATTTATGTAAGGAGGACAAATGACGGGAGAAAAGGAAGGGGGAATATACACATTATGTTTGCCTTCTGGCAGCTCTTGCCAGAGGAACTAAGTGCTGGTCAACAGCCTCAGAAAAGCCAATTCCTTTTCCTCCTCCCCCTTTAAGGGAGCTATGTGCCAGCATCTATGAGCCCCAAACAAGCAGGCAAGACTTTTCCCGTAACAGACCAATCTCTTGAGAAGAAGATGGGTTGTTCAGGGTTGTTTCCTTGCAAAAGCAATAGGCAACATGATGACAAACTTTATGAAAGGATCCCTTGCCCCTCTCTTCACTTTCCTGACACTCCTGAAGGCCAGAGAGCAGAGCCGCATGCCCAAGCAGCCTCCCCAAGTCCTCCTTGCATCTGTACTGCTTCACATTTAGAATGACACAGAACTAATCCTTACAGCCAAAGAGAAGTACAGGGAGAAGAAACAGATTAGACGTGACGCAGCTGAACTCACCAATCCAGCACCTTCTGTTCCCCTTACTGCTGTGAGCAGCAAGTTGGATTCAGGGCTATTCCAATTCTAGACAGCAAAGGGGGAAAGAAAATACATGACAGCATCTTTTTGAAGCTTTTTAAAGCCGAAAGCTGAACCACAAAGACACCCTGCTTGTCACCAGGCTGTGCAGCAAACCCGACAGCAGGCTATGTTGGGAGAAAGGGAAAAAGAGGGAAGTTCAGGCAGCGTGTGGACACACAGAGCAGGTCACTACTCACCTTGGAGCTGGGCAGACAGCGCTTCCTGCTGCTGTTTGTATTTCTGGGCCAGGGCTTCAGCGTTCTGCACCTTTTGCTGCAAGTGGTTGTAGATGAAAACTCCCGAGCCCAGGCACGCCACGGTCACCAGGCAAAACCCGGTCTGCAGGAGCCCCTTCTGCCTCCTCGAACACATGCCGGTGCCCATGATGGGGCCGGGGCACAGCGATGCTGTAGCGCTGCCTCTCCGGCGTTGCTAAAGCATCTGCTCGGGTTTGCCCAACAGCCCCTTTCCTCCGCAGATCCGCAGAACCCTCGGCAAGGCGCGATCAAAGTCTCCTCTTCGCTCCTTCCCAGCCCTCAGGGAGGCTCAGGCGCTCCAGCAGCGGTTTATTCCTCATCGCCCAGCGGG